TGCAGCGGTCGGATTAATAATCACCAAGGTAATAGGTATTTGAACAAGTTTAATAACAAAACCAGACTCACGAAACCAAGGTTCCAGCGGAGTAGCCAGCGGAGACAGGAGAGGAAGGGAAGGGGCGCGCAGCCTCTGCCCGCCCAATATATCAGTAAACATATGCCCGAGGGCAGCCCGCCCCTAAGGGGAGGGCTTATCCCTACAGTTATGATTGTTTTTGTTCTCTCTCTCTCTCTCTCTCTCTCTCTCTCTCTCTCTCTCTCTCTCTCTCTCTCTGTGTGTGTGTGTGTACAGGTTACACATGTGCCATGCCATGAGTTTGAAGTCAGAGGACAAGTTTTGGGGAGTTGCTGTTGAATCATGGACCTGAACATAATAAGGGTTTTATGTTGTTCTGGTTTTTAAAGTTTTTTTTTTCCCTCAGCAGTAAGTTTCTATTTCTTGAAATGTAGATCCTTCCTCCTTTGTCTTTGTAGCATCTCCCTGCACCTGTCACACAAGAAACAGAGGTGACTAAGGTGCCCAGTCTTACCACAGCCAATCAATATTTCAATTATTTCTATAGAGGAATTATATTTCTATAGAGGGTCTGAGTTTGGTTTCCAGTGCCCATATCACGTGACTCACAACCAGCTGTAACTTTGGCTCCAGGGCAATCCAAAGCCTCCTTGAGTAGCTGCTGCACATACCCCCCCCACACACACTTTTTTTTGTTTGTTTGAGACAGGGTTACTCTTGTGTAGCCCTGGCTGTTCTGGAGCTTATCCTGTAGACCAGGCTGGCCTCGAACACAGAGAGCCGCCTGCCTCTGCCTCCCAAGTGCTGGGATTAAAGGTGTGCGCCACCAGGCCTGGCTTGTGTGCGTGTGTTTCACGAACCCAGTCTATGTGCATATGAAACTGCCATACGTATTTTTTATAGGTAACTTTATGCTGCTCCCCAAATGGGACACAAAGTGGTGGTGTTTGACATTTCTGTCATCAGATCCTTGTGGGAAACTCGTGTCAAGAAACACAAAGCATGGCAGAAGAAGGAAGCCGAAAGGCTGGAGAGGAGCGCCCTGGAGAAGTACGTTTTGGTGCCTGTTATTCCCTCTGGGTGGGAGTGGGGATTCATGCAGGCTGCTGGCTGGCGGGGAGGGGAGCTCTTCACGGGACTTCTCACTGTCTTGGCCACATTCCTCCATAGACTCCATAGCCAGGTGCTGCTGTGTTCACGCCTTTAACAGGACACCCGGAGTCACGAGGAATTACGTAATGTCCAGATGCTATACTAGACACAAAAACCCCTGCGCGCTCACCGTGTAGAGGCCGCTTGCTGCCCTTCACTGAACCCACTAGACCACCCCACGCTCCCACTAAGCTACTTTCTTCATGCCGTTCAGCTTTCACGTGCTGAGCTGAATTCTAGGTGAGACCCATTGTTTTCATCTGCTTGAGCTGAAACGATGCCGTCTGCCTCCCAGAAACTTATGAAATGTGAGTTAAAGCGCTCTGGACAGAAAACTAAGTTGAGGGTCTGGAGAGATGGCTCCGCAGTTAACAACACTTGCTGCTCCTGCAGAGAACCAGGGTTCGACTCACAACCACCTATAGTTCCAGCTCGAGGGTATGTGATGATGTCCTGAGGCTCCTGCGAGCACTGCATACACCTGGTGCGCGCGCGCGCACGCACACACACACACACACACACACACACACACACACACACCACTAAGTTGCAAAGCTGGAGAGATGACTCAGCAATTAGAAGTGCTTGCTATTCTCCTAGAGGACCCAAGTTTAGATCCCAGCACCCAAGTGGGCTTCCTCATAACCTTCTGTAACCTAGCTATAGGGAATCCAAAGCCTTCATCCCTGGATATTCATTTATGAACATGGAATACACACAAATAAATAAATGCTAAAACACACACAAAGCCACAAAACACACTAAGTTGAGGTAGTGCTTCAAAAAACCCTCGATGGTAAACGTGAGCGTGCAATCGTATTAACACTGTCCAGCATAACAGAAGGAGGATAAACTCACACACATCTGTAATTTTATTCTCTGTGAAGAAACTTAAGCTAGAATTCTTGAGTGGTACATTGCGGTTAAAGGCAAAACGGGGTTCTGATTGGCTAACTCATCTCAAAGGGTTTTTCCAACCCTACATCCAACCAGCAAATGATGAAGCATTTGTATTGGCTTTGTTTGTTTGTTTTGTTTATGTTCTTCAAGACAGGGTTTCTCTGTATAGCCTTGGCTGTCCTGAACTCATAGACCAGGCTGGCCTTGAACTTATAGAAAACCAACTGCTTCTGCCTCTTGAGTGCTGGGGATTAAAGGCTTTCACCACCACTGCCTAGCTATTTGTGAAATTTAAGTTAGCAACCAAAGGTGTAAAGTGTGAATCAGTCAATCAATCAATTTATCTGTAATCTATTTTTTGAAAATAATTTATTATTTTATTTTATTTTTTTGAGACAGGGTTTCTCTATATAGCTTTGGAGCTTGCACTGGAACTAGCTCTATAGACTAGGCCTTAAACTCACAGATATCCACCTGCCTCTGCCTCCCCAGTGCTGAGATTAAAAGCATGTGCCACTATGGCCCGGCTTATTTTTGTATATTATGTACATTGTATTTTGCCTTCATGTGTATCTGTGTGAGGAAGTCAGATCTTGGAGTTACAGACAAGTGTGAGCTGCCATGTAGGTGCTGGGAATTGAACCCAGGTCCTCTGGAAGAGCAAACAGTACTGCTGAGCCATCTCTCCAGCCCCCTACAATTTATTTTTTTAAAAAGCTATTTAGTGTATGTGTTCCTGTGCAGTCCTGCCACTGCTCATGCGTGGAGCTCAGAAGATGACTCACAAGAGTCAATTGTCTCCCACACGTGGGTTCAGGAGGGTCAGACTCATGCCGTTGGCCTTGGCAGCGAGTGTCTTCACTGCTGAGCCGTCTTATCAGTTCCACTTGTTTTCAAATCAAAACAGGGTCTGAATAAACCAGGGTGGTCTTGAACTTCTTGTGCAACAAGAATGAGCTTGAATTTCTCTTTTTGTTTTATTTTGTTTTGCTTTCTAGACAGGATTTCTCTGTGTAACAGCTCTGGCTGTCCTGAAACTTGCTCTGTAGCCCAGGTTGGCCTCGAACTCACAGAGATCTGTCCGCCTCTGCCTCCTGAGTGTTGGGATTAAAGGCGTGCGCCACCACTGCCTGCATGAGCTGGAACTTCTAATTGTCCTACCGACACCTCCCCTTGCTAGTGTTATGTGCTGTATTTGTATCAGTTTGTAAATTGTGATATAGGAAAGATACAGGTCTTAAGTGCTGCCTTCGCACTATGTTGCCTGGATCTGCCTTCTGATTTGATTTCAGAAGCAAGAAAAGCTGAGGTAGGGGGATGTCTCAGTAAAAAGAGGCCTTTACTGCTGTCTCTGTGGATCTGAGTTTGATCCCTGGGACCCGCATGATGGAAGAGAGAAATGACACCCTCAGGACGTCCTCTCGTCCTCTGTGTTTCAGAGGCTGGCCTTGAACCCTGGTCCTGCTTCCACCTCTCAAGGGCTGGGACTACTGGCCTGTGCCAGCACATGGAGCCTTTCTGGGTGCCTTTCCCCAGAACACTTCTTCCTGTGACTGAAACCTTTGTTTCAGCTGTGTTAATTATTTAAAGTGTTCCTGATCCCTCAGTTTAATGCCATGCGCAAACACAATATCTAATGTGGCTTCTTGCCAGCAGAAAGTTGTACTGGAAGGCGATGTTTACAGAGCCTGGCAGCACCGCAAAGGTGTCTGAGTTCAAGGCCAGGCAGGGCTACAGGAGACTCTGCCTTAACAAACAAGGAGAAGACACTTGCAGATAGACTTGGGGAGCCATTTACAGAAATGTGGGGGTGCAGAGTCAAAAGCTGACATGAGAGCGTAATGTAGTCTTAAACCGAATGTTTAGGTAATTTTGGTAGGAGGTTTAGCCAAGGATTCCATCTAACTTGGCTCATCTTTTTAGTTGTGGTCATTAGTGATTCACTGAAGGGTCTCAGTTTCCCCAGCATCCCTGGTGGCAGGAAAGAAAGGTAGCCAAGAGTGGGAAACCAGGTTCCAGGGAAGTGGAGGAGCAAACCTGGCTATTTACCCTAGGAAATAACTGGTCTTCTGCTCCCATCTTAGGATAAAGGAGGAATGGAACTTCGTGGCCGAGTGCAGAAGGAAGGGCGTGCCCCAGGCCCAGTACTGCAAGAACGGCTTCATAGACACCAACACAAGGCTCCTGGAAAAGATAGAGAGGAACTCAGTTGCTAGGCAGAGTGCGTGGATCAAGGACAGAGACAAACGGAGCGATCCGTTTGTGTTTGAACTTTCAGGGACACAGTGGACGGTGAGTCAAGTGTCTGTCTGTCTATAAAAAGTGGACACTCAGGGTTGTTTTATGGCTAAGGTTGAGCCTTAGCTTTGGCCAGATGAGGCTCTGGTCTGTAGAGGGATTTCCGGTGCGCATGAAGGAACTCTGCCTCTACTCTGAGCTGGGTCCTCCTGTCCTTTTGTTGTTGTTTGAGACGGGGTCCAACACAGCCCGCCCAGACTGACCTTGAACTATTACTGAGGTTGGCTTCAGTCTAACCTTCTGGATCTGCCTGGTCTCCCGAGTGCAGGGATTTCAGGCGTGCCCTGCAATCCAGTCTCAGAGGTCAGCTTTTAGAAAGAGATTTGACCTGAAGCATTATTAGCTTATTTCGTTTGTATGCATTAAAAAAAATGTACTTTTTTTTTAAGTGCTGGGGATTGAGTTCTTGGCTTCATGTGTTAGGGTCTGAGAAAAACCCCCCAAAAGACCAATGACAACATGTATGCAATAAGAAGAGAGCTTTATTGATTCCAACATTAGGGTGGCAAAAGGGGGACCCCTAAAGAAGCTTACAAGCCCCTTTTAAGTGGAGTTAGGGGAATTCCACAGAGGAGGGATTAATCTGGGCTTGATTGGTGGATGAAAGATTAGTCTGGGAGCTGATTGGTGAGAGCTGACTGGTGGGAGGCCTTAGTGGCTAGGTACTTTCTGGTAGCAGGGTAGGGGAAGCTATCTTTAGCTTGCAGAAGTCTGGGGGTGTCTGCTGAGCTAGCAGAGAGGCTTTGGGGACCTGCTGAGCCAGCAGAAGGACCTGTGGTGGGGTTTGCTGGTGGTCACCCGTAAATTGTGTTTTTCCTGAGACCAGCTTACTCAGCTCAGCCCCGGTCTGGTGAACTGAAACTGAGGTCTCTGTCAGGGCTCTGGTTTGCTGCCCCCCCCCTCCACCCTTTTCACATGCGTATGAAGAGAGCCCTGGGCTGTGCTGATTTAGCTAAGTGAATATTCTGTGAGCTACAGTTCTCTCAGAATGAGGTGATTCCACGCAGCCTCCTAGCTAGTTTTCTTTTGCATTTATGTCATTGTTTCGATTGGTAGGTGCAGAGATGGTGCCTGCTTACGGAACTCAGGTCAGCAGGCTTGACTGCAAGCACTTGTACCCAGTGAGCCATCTTGCTGGATCAGAATGTGTGTGTGTGTGTGTGTGTGTGTGTGTGTGTGTGTACATGTGGAGGTCAGAGGACAATTTTGGGGAGTTCTCTCTTCCCCCAGGGCTCTAGGGATTGAACTGTAGTTGTCAGGCTTGGTGACAAGTACCTTTACTTGGTAAGACATTCTACTGGCCTTCTACATTATTGTTGCTATTACTATTATTATTGTTGTTGTTGTTTTTGTTTTGAGACAGGGTCTTACTATGTAACCTTGGCCAGCCTGGAACTTGTTATGTAGGCCAGGCTGGCCTCACACTCAGAGATCTGCCTGCTTCTGCCCCTTGAGTGCTGGGATTAAAGATGTCACCACCACTTTATATTTTGAGACACGGTTTCTTACTGAATTAGAAAGTCACCTCTTAAAAAAAACAAACTTGTTTTGAAATTTTACTTTTTATTTTATGTGTATGAGTGTTCTGCTTGCATGTATGTCTATGTACCATACATGTGTCTAGTGTCCATAGAGACCAGAAGGAGATGTCAGATCCTCTGGAACGAGACCTACTGTGTGGGTGCTAGGAACTGAACCTAGGTTTTCTGTGAAGGCAGTTAGTGCTTATAACAGCTGAACTGTCTGTCCATCTCTACAAAGTCATCTTTTACTATGGTGGCAGCCAGCAAGCCTGCAGGAACTGCCTGATCCCACTGGAATTACAGGCATGTGTGGGAATTTGAACTCACTCTTGCTTTCAGAGGAAGTGCTATTGCCCACTGAGACATCACCCTGACCCTTATCTAGTCACACGGCCCTGGCTACATATCTACATCATGGCGGTCTCTGGAATGTGTGTGTGGGTACAGTGTGTGTGTGTGTGCACGCGTGTGACAAAGGTCAACTTGGGTGTCTTTCTCAGTTGCTCTCCGCTTTGTTTTTTAATAGCATTTCTCACTTTTATTTAGAACTTGTCCTGGGCCAGGTTGGCAAAGCAGTAAGGCCCTCGGGATCCATCACCATCATCTCTAGATTTCCAAGACAGGGATTGAAGATGTGAACCATCGCTCCTGACATTAAAGAGGGTTCTGGGGAGCAAACTCAGGTCCCCAAGCTTGTGAGGCAAGCCTTTTCCCAACGGAGCCATCTTCCCAGCCTCTGGCTTTCTTTCAAACAGACCTTGGTGATCATGCCCACTCTACCCATCTTACGGTCTCTTATGAAGAATACCTGAGTGCAGGGCGTTCTTGGGTTGGAAGCTTGTCCACACACAGCAGCAGTGGCCATAAGGCCAGTTATAAGCATAGAGCGACTGTTATGCTCTGATCCGTGAAGTCCCCCCAAACCAACAAGGAGACTGAGTTCCGTATGTAAAAACAAAGAACCTTTATTTTATGCAAATTTGCAAACTCGGTCTCTCCGCATATCCAATGTATTGAAGTAAGTGGAGAACCCCGAGCTCAGTTAGAGTTGGGTTTTTATAGTAATAAAGGCGGGAGTGAGGGGTTTCTGAGGTTCAGGACCCCTGATTGGCTGACATTTGTCTAGGGGTGTCCTGGTGAGTGTGTGCTGGCAGATGATCCTATCCACAAGGGTTGGAACATTAGGCATTTCCTTTGGATGGTCTGTTCTTGGGTGGTAATCGGGTAATCTCAGTTTGTGGTTCTTCCTGCAACCAGGTATTGCTTCAAGGTAAACTACTGAGACTCAAGCCTCCATTAAATTTATGGATCCCTGAGTCCTACTCTGGCAGGTGATAATGGTTGGAAGTAAAGAACTTCCTTTGGGTGGTCTGTTTCTATTTAGCTTATCATGGCTGGCTCCTACAGCGGCCACTCTTCCTACAGTGCGACACCACACATTGCTGATGGGAACATTATCTTCACCTTCATGGTGTCAGGGACCCTTGCCTCTCCCTTCAGTGCCAGGCACCTCCAGTATAGCACGGGCTTGGTGGTTTGGATTTCTGCAGTGGGACAAATTGCTGCTCAGAAGTCCTAAGCATCTTTCCACACCATCAGTTCTTATCCCAGCGCCGCTGAACTAGGGAGGCTGTGGTTGTCATTGTCATTATTCCTGCAGAAGTCTAAGCCAGGGAGACAGCACAGCTGAGAGAAGGGGGAGGCTGGGTAGGAATGGGCTCACTGCACACCGCTTGTCCCTGAGGCTCCTCCCTCTACTATAGACTCATACCCATAAAAACACAGGAGGGTTTGCTATGGAAAACACTAGTTATTTATCAAATATTTCTAAAGGCAACTACAGAGTAAGAGAAATAGAACATAAATGTCTAAAACAATCAGGTGTGCTCAGCTTGCACCCTGCAGGCCAAATGCACCCCGGGATAGGTATAGACAGACCAACAATACATAATCATGAGCTTATTTAAAATATGGGAAATTGTTTGCAGGTTTTTTTAAAAAAATATTTATTTATTTATTTATTTATTTATTTATTTATTATGTATACAATAGTCTATCTGTATGTATGCCTGCAGGCCAGAAGAGGGCACCAGACCTCATTACAGATGGTTGTGAGCCACCATGTGGTTGCTGGGAATTGAACTCAGAGCCTTTGGAAAAGCAGGCAATGCTCTTAACCACTGAGCCATCTCTCCAGCCCCTGTTTGCAGGTTTTTAAACTCCATCTAAGCAGTTCTCAAGCATGAACTTTGTAGATGTCAATGTCTGTCATGATGTCAATGAATGGAATATATAGGGCAGATCTTATGTTAGAAGATGCGTGCTGTTGATAAGTATTGTGAAATTGGTCATCTGTGTTCACTAGGATTTACATACATATGAATGTATATATATGTTAACTATACATATTATAGATGTGCGCACCTGTGCTTGTATGAGCTCAGAGGCCAGAGAGTATGTTGTGTGTTCTGCTCAATCATTCTTCCCCTTATTCTGATAACCATATACATTACATAGCTAGTATACGTAGTTATTTGGAAACAGGTTCTCGATAAGTTGTTCAGGCTGACCTTGAACTTCTGTCTCATCCTCCCAAACAGTTGGACTTTCAGCAGGCCTGCACCACTAGGCCTGGCTAGAATTTGGTTTTATTATATCCCCCCCTCCCCGCCTCTCTCTCTCTCTCTCTCTCTCTCTCTCTCTCTCTCTCTCTCTCTCTCATTTTATTTTTTTATTTTTGAGACAGGGTTTCTCTGTAGCTTTGGAGCCTGTCCTGGCACTAGCCTCTAAAGACCAGGCTGGCCTCGAACTCACAGAGATCCTCCTGCCTCTGCCTCCTACGTGCTGGGATTAAAGGTATCTGCCACCACCGCCTTTGATTTTATTATCACAAATCGGAAATGAGGTTGATCAGCTTTGGTGAGTTGCCACTGGCTTCTGCGGAAATGGCACCAATGTCTCACATGCCTTTCTGTTTTGGCTCAATCCTTGGTCTGGTGAGGCTTTGTGAACACGAGGAACGGAGACTGCTGACCAACACCGCTCCTTCTGTTTCAGGAGCTCCCGGATTCGCTGAAGGAGCGGACGCACCTCAAAGAATGGCATATCCACAGCACCCTGATTCAGATCATTCCCACGTACATCGAGCTGTTTCAAGCCATGAGAATTCTGGATTTGCCAAAAAACCAAATCACGTGTCTCCCAGCTGAAATTGGTAGGTTACTCGGCAGGAATAGTTGCTCAACCTTCGCCTCTCCTGCCACTTCGTGAATGAGACAGTAAATAATTCTACCAGCCTCACGGCAACCACGTGAATTGAGCGCACAATGATCGCCGTGCTACAGATAGGGAAATAGGAAGGCAGGTTGTCTGAGTGATTGCCCCAGCTCACACAGTGGCCTCCCAAGATTGCTGCTCTCCTCCCTTCACCCTTTGGTCAGAGCCCATCAATGCTGGCTGCACATGAGAATCTCATAGGGAATTGTTTGTTTGTTTTTTTCTGCTTGTTTTTGGTTTTGTGTTTTGGTTTTCTGAGACAGAGTTTCTCTGTGTAGTCCTGGTGGTCCTAGAACCTGCTTTGTAGACAGACCAGGCTGGTCTCAAACTAGCGGAGATCTGCCTGCCTCTGTCTCCCAAGTGCTGGCATTAAAGGTATACGCCACCACTGCCTGGCTCAGAAAATTCTTACAGTGTTGCCCATTCCCATGACTTCAGGTTTCTAAGCAACTGTGAAATTTCTATCAATGCCAAGTCAAACAAGCAGATCACATTATTTCCTGTCCCAAAGAGGACACTGAGCCAGTGGCTCTGAGAACAGGGAAATAGCTGAGGGACATCCAGGAGAGTAGGAGGAAGAAATGGGGTGTTGGCATTGTGCCACCTGCCCTACAGCTGGCTGCTCACCACAGTCAGCTTCCTGCTTCTGCTTCCATGTCATGCTTTTTATGACATTGTGGATGCTCTCTTTGGAACCATAAACCAGGATAATTTTTTTTCTCTTTCAATTTTTAAACACTTTATTTATGTATATTGGTGTTTTGCCTGTGTGTGTAACTACGCACCATGTGCATGCAGTGCCCAAAGAGGCCCAAAGAGGGTGTCAGAGCCCCTGAAAATAGAGTTACAGTTTGTGATGAGTTGCCCTGGGCATGCTGGGAGTTGAATCTGGGTCCTCTGGAAGAGCTCTTAATCACTGAACAGTCTCTGCAGCCCAAAACTATCTTCTTTAAACTGCTTCTGGTCATGATATTTTATTGAAGCAACAGAAAAGGAACTAATGGCGGGTTAACTGCAGTGTCACAGAGATTAAACAGCTAGAGAAGTGGAACCAACCAAAAAAAACACAAACAGCCACAGCGCCAACAGTGAGATGCTCTGATGGGAGACATTTAACAGAGAATACTCAATGTGCAAACATGAAATTAGATCTTGTCTGCATATCCTTTTCTCCTTTTCCTTTTCTCCCTTTGAATTGCTTTTTGAGACAGTGCACCTTGTGTAGAACTGTGTGACCTTTACACTTCTGTGTTTCAAGTGCTGGATTACGGGCACTCAATGCCATCTCTGGGGTCCTTGTCATTAGGGGAGTGTTTAACCCCTGAAATACGTTTCTGTTCTGTTTGTTTGTTTTGTTTTTGAGAAAGGGTCTCACTGTGTAGACCTAGCTGTCCTGGAACTCACAGAGATCTGCCTTTCTCTGCCTTCTGAGCACTGAGATTAAAGGCCTGTGTGTCTGACCAGCTTGTTTCTGTTCTTAAAAGGCTTTGAAGGACCTGCTCCATGGAGGTTAACTTTTTGTGTTGCTAGGTCGCTTGAAGAACCTGAGAGAACTCAATGTGAGTTTCAATCACCTGAAGGACGTTCCCCCGGAGCTGGGAGACTGTGAGAATCTAGAGAGACTGGACTGCTCTGGGAATCTGGACCTGGCAGAGCTCCCCTTTGAAGTGAGATGCAAACGCTTCTGCCCTATGACTCCCTGTCGTTTAACTTATTACATGGCGTGTTCTATACTGTGAGGAACGTTTACTAACACCTCTAGTCTTCTTTTCTTTAGTTACTAGATTGTTCTCAGGCTTTACCTGAAAATATAAGAGTTGCCAATCAACCTTGAAATAGGACAAAACCAGAGAACTTACATTATGCAATTTCAAAGCTTACTATAATGTCACAGCATTGAATTAACATAAAGACAGACCCACAGAAAATTGGGACAGAATTAAGATTTCAGAGAGAAATCTCTATAATATGTGCATATATTCAAATATATATGATTTTATTTTGAGATGAATTTGTTGTCTTGACTGACCTGAAACTGGCTCTGTATATGAGGTTGCCCTGCACTCACAAAGATCTGCCAGTCTCTGCCTCCTGAGTGCTGGGGTTAAAGGTGTGAAACACCATGCCCTATAACTATATTATATTTACAATCAATTGATTTTTGAACAGAATCACCAAGAAAATTCAATGGAAAAAGGACAATCAATTTAATAGAAGGTTTTGGGAAAATTAAAACCCTTACCTAACTCCATGCATATTATGACATAAATGAAGAATTTGAAAAACACCCTAGTTGAAAGAAAACAGATTTAAAAGAATGTTGCATGTAATTCCAGGAAGAAAAATGTGTAGAGAAGGAAAGTAGGTCCATGATTTTCTCATGAAAAGATTGGGAGTACCGAATGACAGCCAGTAGGAAGAAGAAAATCTGAGCAGAGGTGATAGAAATACCCTGCAATTGAATCATGTACACTGTACAACCGTGATGGGTATGGTTTGTGCTATGCAAACTCTACCTCGTTGGAGTTTGGGGAATTAAAGAAAGGAGCACTTCTGGTTTCTTGTCATCCCGTGTGCTACCAGGGGATCTCAGACTCACCCCTTTCCTGCTCCTGCCTCTGTTTGTCATGAACCCCCTGGTGTAGTCAGAAGGGCCCAGCCAGGGAGTACCTCTCCAACATGCCCGCTCTGTCACGTGTCTCTTCGTTTGTTCTCTTACAAAGCCAAGTGATACGACCCTGCTGTAGACTTCCGAGAGAGCAGGCGTAAAGGGGTAAGCCCGAGAATAAACAAGACTTCTGAGACAAAGGGGAAGATACAGAAATCCCCTGGTGCACAGCCGTCCCTCTTCAGATACGTGCTCTGCGTATGTTCACTGTGGGTCAGATTTTGAGCAATACGACCGTCTCAGCCAGGGTTCCTATTGCTGTGGTAAACACCATGGCTACAGCAACTCAAGGAGGAAAGGGTTGATTCAGCTCACACTTCCACATTCCATTCATCAACAGAAGCCAGGATAGGAACTAAAGCAAGGCAGGAACCTTGAGACAGGAGCTGATGCAGTGCCGTGGAGGGGTGCTGCTTACTGACTTGTTCCCCTTGCTCTCTTATAGAACCCAGGACCACCAGCCAGGGTTGTTATCACCCACAATAGGCTGAGCCCTCCCCTATCAATCACTAAGAACATGTTTTACAGATGGGTCTTACGGAGGCATTTTCTCAGTTAACGTTCCCTCCTTTCAGATAACTCTAACTTGTGCTGAGCTGACATAAAACCAGCAAGTGCAATGATACTTTGTCAGTGGACTTTAAAGGATTTTTTTTTAGGTAAATAGAAGTATTTTCAGTGTATTTTATGGATGTCATATTGCTTTGCCATTGATAAATGTAACTAATGGGGGATGCTGGGTGTGGTCAAGCTCCATGACTGCACACAGGCAGACATGGTGCTGGAGAAGGAGCTGAGAGTTCTATACCCAGATGTGCAGGCAGCAGGAAGAGAGAGTGAGTCACTAGGCCTGGCTTGAGCTTCTGAAACCTCAAAGCCCGCCCCCTAGTGACACTCTTCCTCCAACAGGGCCAAACATCCCGGACCTCTCAAATACTGCCACTCCCTATGAGCCACCGGAGGCCATTTTCATTCTAAGTGCCAGATAGTCTAAAAATACATTTGCTACGTTTATTGCGAAGACAAAGACGAATGGTGATTTAGATTTGTTTTTGTTTTGTTTTTATTTCCTTTTTCTGCCCATCTGATTGTTGGCACCCGGGGCAGAAGCCTTAGTCTGGATTACAGGCACCCAGCACGTCTCTTTGATCATTCGCTGACACGTGCTGCCTTCACAGTTTGGAATTGCAGACAAGGACATAATCAGAGTGTGTCCCCTTGGTAGAGTGTATTTGAGACAGGGAGATGGGATCCACACTCAGCTAGACATGGGCATAAGCCCAGAGCTTTTCCCTTCTTCTGTTCACTGCCGCCCTTTATGGGCCCAACTAGCCCTGTGTCTCGAGTAATTTGTAAAACTGTGTTTTAAATGTCTTTATTTGTTTTGTATATGTATGCACCTGCATGTAGGCGAATGAGGAAGTAAGAGCACAACTCTTGGGAGCTGTTTTTTTTTTTCCCCCTTAGTGTAGGTCCTGGGGATCAAACTCAGAACACCAGGTTTGGCTACAGATGCTCTTACCCGCAGAGTCATCTTGGTGGCCTGATAATGTGCTTGGAGAGAGAGTGTAATTTTACTCATGGATGCTCAAAAGAAGTCAGTAAAAAACATTAGCTTCTTTTATGTTTCATAGTAGCTGTCAAACTTTCATAACCAATTCCAGATATGAAATGTTTGTTCAACTTTATTCAAAATTTATAGATTTGCACTGAAGCACAATATCTCCCCATATGTTTGACTTGACATGCTGCAAACAAGAACTGTGGATAGAAAACCACAACAAAAGAGCCCAACCCTGCTTAGCTACTGGGGCCAGACAAGATGAAGAGGACTTTACCGTGTCATCTAACCCATCCAAATGTGGATTTCCTCAAGGCTTGTCAAAACTTGTTAATGCTATCCTTGCCACACCCTAATTTGTAATTTGAATTTTCTAGTTGGGCATAGTGGCACACACCTCTAATCCTAGCAGAGGCAGGCTGATCTCTGTGAGTGCGAGGCCAACCTGGTCTACATAATGAGTTCCAGGACAGCCAGGGTTTTGTAGTGAGACCCTGTCTCAAAAAATAAACAAACAATGCGAAACAAAGCAACAGCAAAGACTTGAGCTCTCTGCCTCTCTGCCTGTGCTGTTCCCCACCTGGGAGACCCAATTCCAATATTCTCTTCTCCGTAAAAATCTTTTTGGACTCCTGACCATTGCTCCCTCATACTGCTGGGTAAAATCGCCCACAGTTAAGCTGGGTCTTCCAAAATAACTGAATCTATATAATCCCTCCCAGATTTACCCAGAGAAGTGTTCCCCATGGTAATTCACTCCTGTCAAGTCAACAGTCAGGATTAGCTGTCACAGAGGGTCATTCCAGTATTCTCTTATTCCTTTCTAGTTGAGTAATCTGAAGCAAGTGACGTTTGTAGATATCTCAGCAAACAAGTTCTCCAGTGTCCCGATCTGTGTCCTGCGGATGTGCCGCCTGCAGTGGTTGGATATCAGCAACAATAATCTGAGTGACTTGCCGCAAGATATAGACAGGTAGCTACTTGCACCCTAAGGTGAGGTGTATGAACTCATTACTAACACTTTAAGACCGCTAACACTTTAGATATGCTAGCACATGAATAGCCTTTGAAATCAACTACTTTTCCAGAGTTGGGCTCTAGGAAATGGTAGAATAAGACAGTCTCCATGCGCACCACACGTCCATGCACGTATGCACTCGAACACTTCTCTTATTTAATGTCAGATGTTCCCCCTTGTAGCCCTGGCTGCTCTGGAACTTACTATACAGACCAGGTTGACCTTGAACTCACAGAGATCTGCCTGCCTTTGCCTCCTAAGTGCTGGGATTAAAAGTACACAACACCACACTTGGATTTTTATTTTCTGAAAGCATTTTAAGAATTGAGTGTGTGTCCTCGACCATAGAGGCCTGAGGATAACCGGAGGGAGATGCTTCTCTCCTTCCACCGCGTGGGTCCAGGAGAGCGAACTCAGGATGTCCGGCTTGGTGGCAGGCACCCTTTCTTGTTGAGCTATCTCACTGTTTCTTCCTTCTCTCCCTAACTTTGAGACAGAGTCTTGCAAAGTAGCCCAGGTTAGCCTCAAACTCAGGATCTTTCTGCTGCTACCTCACAAACAGCTTAGAAGAGATTTTTGTTTTGTTTATTTTATTTTTTATTTTTGAGATAGGGGCTTGCTCTGTAGCCTGGAAGGGCTTGGAACCCTCAATGCTCCTGACTCAACTTCCTGAGTGCAAAGATCACTGATGCAAGCCTCTTGACTAGGCTTCAGTCTTTTATAGAATAACATTGCTAATTTTACTCCACAGGAATGGAAAAGAAAATGTATTATGTGTAGAGAAACATCACCCTGCTTAGAACAACACGGGGAAAGGAATTTTTATTACTTTTCATTTATTAATTTAAGGTGCATAATTTTTAAACAAAATTGGCATGTTAGTTATGTTGTTAAATTATATCCAATCAGCTGTTTCCTTTATAAAACGATTATTATGGGCTGGGGAGATGGCTCGGTGGGTGAAGTGTCTGCTGCGCAAGCTTGAGGACATGAATTGGATCCCCGCAGTCCTGTAATAGCTCATGTGGCTGCTCCCAGCGGTGACCCTAGTGCTCGGGTGGGCAAAGACAGGGGGTCCCCAGAGATTGTGGAAATCAGGCTAGGCAGCTGGTAGTCACCAGGTTCAGTGAGAGACCCTATCTCAAAAGATGAGGAGGAGGAACTGGTGAGATGGCTCAGTGGTTAAGACTGAGTTCTGCTCTCAGAGGACCTGAGTTCAGTTCCCAGAACCCATATCAGATGGCTCACAACTGCCTGGAACTCCAGTTCCAGGGGATCTGACTCAGCGGGCCCTTGTGCTCATATGTACATATACTCACACACAGACACACTGTGTAATTTAAAATAAAAGATAAAGTGAAGGGTCTGGGGAGGTAGCCTCAATATTACGAGCACTTACTAGTCGGGTGTGGTGGCTCACACCTTTAGTCCTAGTACTCGGGAGACAGAGGAAGGCAGATCTCTGTGAGTTCAAGACCAGTCTGATTTACATTTCGAGCTCCAGGACAGCCAGGACTACATAAAGAGAACTGGTTTCAAAAAAACAAAACAAAACAAAACAAAAACAAACAAACAAACAAACAAAAAAACACAAACAAAAAACAACAGAAAAGAGCACCGAACTGCTCTCGCAGATGTCCTGAGTTCAGTTCCCGCACTGGGAAGTTCATGACTGCCCGTAACTCCAGCCCCAGAGCATCCAACACTCTAGCCTCTGTGGGCATCTGCACTCATGTACACAGACTTAAAAAAATAAAAATAGTTCTTAGAAAAGAAGGCGGAGAGCAACAGTGGAAGACCCTCGGTGTCGACCTCTGACCTCTAGATGCTTGTGTGCACATGCGTATGTGCACCTTCATGCATGTGTATGCACACACACACACAATAAAAATAAAATACATTTAAAATGTAACCTGTCCTTTAAAAAATGATTATCGCACTGAAATGTGTAATGCGAGATGGATTGACTCAGGCATTTATGCCACTGCTATTACTAGGCTGCAGAGTGGACTGGACTGGGCCTAATGGATGAAATACAACCTGTGGCCTCTTGGAGTCTATACTCTCTCTTTTGCTTGTTTGTTTTTTGAGACAGGGTTTCTTTGTGCAGCATTAGCTGTCCTAGAACTAGCTCTGTAGACGAGGCTGGCCTTGAACTCACAGAGATCCTCCTGCCTCAGTTCCCAAATGCTGGCTTCCATCGCCCAGTGGCATCTACACTTTTATTTACATGGAAGCATAATAAACTGTGACGATTCACAGGCTGCCTTGGCTTAGGCCCGAGTGTGACACTTTTCTACCCATGGTCCCTGTGATGGATGAATGCCTTCCTGGGCGAACGAGGCCAAGTGAGACTTACTTGTGTTTGAATGACAAAGGAGTTTTTGAGATATTTGTGACATTACACAAGAATTTGTAAATGAATGAAAAAAAATCTGAAGGGTCTCCAGATTAGAATAAAAATAAAATAAAATAATCTTAAAATATATATATTTTTGCATTTCCTTCTTGTTCCGTGGCTTTCCTCCTACTTTATGTTGAAAAAGAATAGTGAGGGGCCTAGAGAGATGACTCAGCGCTTAAGAGCACTGGCTGCTCTTCCGGAGGTCCTGAGTTCAATTCCCAGCAACCACACAGTGGCTCACAACCATCTGTAGTGAGCTCTGATGTCCTCTTCCGGGTGGTCAGGCATATGTGCAGTCAGAACACTATACATAAAAAAAAAATAGCGAGAGAAGACTAAGTTGTATGAAAAGAAATGCCTTGCTCAAATCTGTTTGTTCTTACAGCAACCCTGGGAAATGCAGGAGACACTTAGGGGAATCTGTTAATCTCTGAGGCCCGTTGTGCCGTGTTCTGTATTGTTACTAAATCCATGTTCAGTGTGTGATTAAGTCAGTAAAGTAAAATCTTCATAGTTCTATGCATAATTTCAAAAGATGACAACCTTATCTAAATGTGGAGAGTAAGCTCATGGTTGCACACACGTTTTGGTGGTGATGAGCCGAGCAGGCTTTCCCTGCGGGAGCAATGCAGTTCCCTGCAGTTGTCTGTAGTTCACCGTGGAGTCTGTCCTGAGTCCTGGCTTCTCCACAGGCTGGAAGAGCTGCAGAGCTTCCTCTTGTATAAAAACAAGCTGACCTACCTTCCTCAGGCCATGCTCAACCTCAGAAAGCTCACCTTGCTGGTTGTCAGTGGGGATCACCTGGTGGAGCTCCCGACTGCCCTCTGCGACGCCTCCACACCTTTGAAGTGAGTATGTGGGGAAGGGAGGGCGCCGGGACAGCCCCCCTCGACACAGGCAAAAGCCAGCCGCCTCTGGCTCCAGACTGCTGTCTTAGGAGCCTGATTCGGATATCCTCATACACTGAGCATCCGCCCCTACTCCACTGTCTACAGGAACTCCAAGGGGTTTGTTCGTTTTTCACAGGCCTGAGTAGGACACGTCACTGGATTTCTGGAGTTGCAGAAACTGCTTGCCAATGGGCAGCATGAGGTGTGGACACAGCATAGGCCTCTCGGCTGTCATGTCCCTGTTGCCTCAGAGAGGCCAGACACTGTTCAAGCAATCCTCTCTGTTCGCCTCATCTTTCTGACTTCCCACAGTGAACTCCGAAACAAAGACAACCATCCATGCAGATGATACGGGCTCTAATCTGGGGTGAAGTCTTGCTTACTCCCCAGAAAGCTGACAAAGCTAGGGACTGTGTCCTCCAGATCCTTTCCATGTATCTTTATTTGTCTCTACGAAGAGACCGAAACCAAAGCTCTTGGATGGTGTATTGTGAGCAAGATAAAGGGGAAACAGGGTTCTGATTGGCTGACTCGTGTCTTTTAATTTCTGTTAGACAGGGTCTCACATGACTTGACTCAGTCATTAGTAGTCAGGACTGACCTTAAGTGTCTTCCTGCTTCCACAGTTTATGTGGTGCAAGGGCTCACGACCAGGGCTTTATGCAAGCTGAGGAGGCACTGTGAGGACCAAGCTGCATCCCCAGACCTTGATTACTGATTAAAGAAAAACAGTGATGGTCTGCATGGGGCTCAGTGATAGAGTGTAAAAAAAGAAAGAATTAACAAATAGGTCAATTAAAGAAATTGCTGCTTCAGAAAAACAAATCTTCTCATTCTTTAAATGTTGATTAAAAAAACAGAGTGATTATATATATATGTATATATATATTCCTTTTCCTCTCTCTGTCTCTGTCTCTGTCTCTGTCTCTGTCTCTGTCTCTGTCTCTATCTCTCTCTCTTTTGAGACAGAGCCCCTCTCCATAGCCCTGGTGTCCTGGAACTCACCATGTAGACCAGGCTGGCCTCAGACTCACAGAGATCTACCGGCCTCTGCCTCCTATATTCTTAATTTTCAAAAAGAAGTATTTATTTTTTGTGTGTAAATGTTTTGCTTGCCTGCCTAAGTGCATGTATAGTAAGTACATGCATATCTGGCACCCTCATTGATCAGAAGCACTGGATGCCCTGGAACTGGAGTTACAGACAGTTGTGAGCCAGCATATGTGTGCTGGGAATCAAACCCTGGTCCTCTGGAAGAGCAGCCAGTGATTTTCACTGCTGAGCTATCTCTCCAGCTCACTGAAGAGGGGTTTTGCAGTTGAATATTCTCAGTAAACATGTTACTTTCCCTCACAGATTTGTAAGCCTTATGGACAATCCTATTGATAAGAGCCAATGTCAAGACAGCGATGAAATACTAGAAAGTGAACAGGACCGCCAGCATTTTGATAAAGAGTTTATGAAAGCATATATTGAAGATCTTAAAGAACGAGGTGAGTTGGGAATATTTAAAACCATTTAAAGTGTATTATGCAACCTCCACCTGTTCCTGAAATACGTACATCAACATCAGTCAGAATGACAAAAAAAATTATTTGTGACTATTTGTGAACCAATGGTGCATTTTCTTAGAACATAAGGTTATTTTTCCTCTCATTTTTATTAGTTCTTTGAGAATTTCATCCAATGCATTTTGATCATTCCACCCTTCCCTTCACTCCTGGGCCCAGCCACCTTCCCTGCCCAGTTTTATTTGTCTCTCTCTCTGTGTTTTAAAAAACCCATCAAGTATAGTTGGTGTTGCCTGTATACTCTGGACTGTGCGGCCTTCCACTCGAGCATGGGCGGCCCAGGAAGGGCTGCACCCTTAAAGAAAACTTGTTCACCCTTCCCAGTAGCTACCAGTTACCCCTTAGCTAGAGCTGGGCCTGCACGCCCACCTCCTGTATCCATGCTGGGGTTTTGTCTGGCTTCACCTTACATAGGTCTCCTTGCATACTGTGAGATTTTCCTTGCATACTGTGTGCTTGCTACATATGTCAACTGTATGACAGAACACAGAGGCTGAGAAACACACAATTAAAATGTGAAGGTTGTATTAATATGTAACCTTTAAATTATGAAAAATTATTATTATTGTGTATGTGTATGTGCGCACCCGTGAGCGTGCATGTGCCCCTGATGTGGAGGGCAGGGCTCATGTGCTTAGGTGTGCATGTGTGAATGAGGAGGTCAGGAGACAACTTATGAAGCCCATTCTCTCCTTCTGCCTCTGTGTTCTAGGAATCAAGCTCAGACCACTTCATTTGCATGGTTGAGGACCTTTATCCACTGAACCACCTTGCCTCCCAGTAAATGAGATTTCATTATTTTGATAAAATAGTATTCAAGTTAATAGAAAAATAAGACTCCATTTCAAAAGTTGGTTAAAAAATTTGAAAGCATGAACTCACCCAAACCAAATACCTGTATAAATGTCAGAAACAAGGAGAACACAGTTGGCCAGCCAGGAAATAGGCCCGCTCAGACTTGGTTTTCCACGGCACGTTGTGTCCTGAGGAGCGCAGATAGTCAGTTAACTCAAGAAGGCCTGGGAAGGGTTTTGTTCTTGGGTTCAAACCCAGGGTCTTGTGTATGATAGAAGTTTCTCTACCACTGTGCTACCCCCTCAAATGGACCACCTCTCACAGTTGGGATCGGCCATCTGTAGATGCAGCTTGGCTGTGAGGAGAAAGACTGGACACTACATACTGGGAGGAGCAAGGCTGAGTCTATTTAGTAAGAGCTTGGTTAGAAATAGCCCTGATCTCTTATAAACCGTATCGTTTTCACCTGCTGTCTTCAGCCCCATGTACTTTACCAGCGATTTCATCAGCTTTTGTTATTATACGGTCATATAGTTTCCAGAGCCTAGAGGGAGCTGCGCGAGGTGGTTGGGAAGATTATAAAAGAAAGAGACTGAGTGTTAATATCGTAGATCTAAACGCGTCTAAACCTGGCAGCCCACTGGTTATACCTCGCACGTCCTCGGCAATCCTTGACGTATCGATGCAAGTCACGCGTTATGGTTATATTTCATAATAAGAATGGATTAATAAGGGACTGGAGATATGGGTCAGGGGTTAGGAGTGCTGACTGCTCTTCCAGAGGACCCTGGTTCATTCCCCAGCACCCACATAGCAGCTCACAACTGTTTGTAACTCCAGTGCCAGGGACTCAGACACCTTCTGACCTCCAGGAACACAGAAAGTGTACATAGGACACAGACATACATACATGCTAGCAAAACACACAAACACATAAAATAAATTGATTAATTAAGAAGAGGGAATGAATAGCTAAGTATATATGTTTTCTTTATTGCAGAAGCCGTTCCCAGTTACACCACCAAAGTGTCATTTAGCCTTCAGCTTTGATCTGATCCACCTGAAGACCACAAAATCTTACCGCTCTGTGCTCTCCGTCTTTGTCTACGCGTTACATCTTACAGGAATTGTGGCTTGTGCTGAAGGACAAAGCTAGAAACTACCACCATCACTGTTAAGGAAAATAATTTTCAAATTTCAAATGGGGAAGACTGGTAAATTTGCATAATGTTAATATTAATAGACGGATTTGCATATCCTTGTTCTATATAATGCACATTTAATACTTTAGGAAATATATATATTTAAATATAGAGCAGCTAGGCAGCGGTGGCAATGGCCTTTAATCCCAGCACTCAGGAGGCAGAGGCAAACAGATCTCTGAGTTTGAGGCCAGCCTGGTTAACAGAGTGAGTTCCAGGACAGCCAAGGCTGTTACACAGAGAAACCCTATCTTGAACAAAACAAAACAAAACAAAAACAAACAAACAAAAATACAGCATAAGAACAAGTTTTGAAACTGGCTGCATTGTTTTTAGGAATCCAGGGCTGGAGGGTTGTAAACAAAAGGATTCACCACCGTGAAAGTGTTTCAGCGTACTATCTATTTCTGTTGAGAGTAATGCTCCTTGAGTTTAAACCAGTGCTATTTCCACATTTTTAAATTCACTTTGGAAAGTACATTTTAAATGGTATTTTATTTATGTATTTTAGACATAAATACATAATACATAGTAATAAATTGTATGTTATTTATGTATTTAATTGTACTTAACTCTCAGGAGAGGCTGAAGGTATAATTTGGGTCTCGAGGGTAGAAAGAAGGGCTGGCATATGTACTTCATTGGACCCTAGGTGCTCATGTGGTGTGGGTCTGGAAAGGTCCAAATGTTGTGCTTGGGGAGCCCTCCTGCCCTGACAGTTCTCCTGGTGGACCTGGGACATCAGAGCAGAGCAGAGCAGTGCCCTCAGTGCTCATTCCTGGAGGGGTCCACACTGATGACCCCCTAGAAAGGCTTGCATGTGGGAACCACGGGAGGGCTTTGCCGGAGTGCAGCTGTGGGCTAGGCAGGGGATGTTAGTTTGTGTTGGCCAAGGGCTGGGCTCTCTGTTCTTGCACTACATAGTACCACGGGAAGAGCCGTATAAAGCTCCTGTTTTTCTACCAATGTCTTAGACTAGGACGGACAGGAAGCGGCTGGTCATCTTGAAGACAGGAGGGAAAATGCACACGCATCTCTGTGTGTATAAGTGGACTCACCCATGTAGTTCCCCCCAACCGCCATGTGGGGGCAGGGCAGCCACTACAGCCTTTGCAGTGGGGAAGCATTCTGAAGCTGTGTTGTTAGATGCCGTACCGTCCAGGCATGGAACATGTGGAGTCTGATGACCCTCAAAAACTAAATTTTAAATGCAGTTTACGTAAATAGTCACTTGTGGCTATCATACCGTACAACAAGGCCCAGCCTGCTAGATTGGGACGGAGGACGTTATTTGTGATTTTAAAAGTGGGAGGGGTTGTTTTTACTTTTTCTTACCCGAAGAACTGATTTGCTCTTAGATTTATATAATTTAAAAAGGTTACCAAAATTTACACAATTAATTAAAACAAAACAAAAACCCCTAAAACATATGGGTTGCTAGGGCTGGGAGCTGACTCAGCAGTTAAAGCTATGGCTACTCAAATCTGAGGACCAGAGAAACCCATGGAAATCTTAAGTGGGCGTGGTGACCCAGCTGTAATTCCAATCTTGGGAAGGAGAAACAGGACGTGTTCAGAGCAATTGGCTAGCTAACCAAACCCACTGGAAGCTCTTGTTTTGAATAGGAGACCCTGACTCAGTAAATAAAATGGAAAGATGATAGAAGATGATTCAGACTCAGACCTCTCTGTGTGTGTGCGCGTGTGCGCGCGGGCCCGTGTGCCCTACACACATGCGAAGCTGTGTAATGCGTGCATATATACACTCACAGGAAAGGGAAAGGAGATTAACATTGACACCTTGGTATTTTGCCTGTGCCAGTATTTAAGTCCAAACATTTTAACCCTTAATAGATGTGACAGGTGGCCTCTTCAGGCCAGGGAGATGTCTCAGGAGAGCGTCACTGCAACCAAACGCAGCAGTGAGAAGTAGGTTAAAAGGCAAAGAGGCAGCAGATGAGGGCTCTCTTTAGACTTCATGGCTTTCAAATTGATGAGTAGCCCTACTTCGATGGCTTCAAGAATTTATTTCTTACTCAAGTACATATATCAAGATGTGAAAATTATATGTGAAAAGGCAGAAGTGTAGAATTTTACACAAATAGACTGTTCATAATTTATGTAAGATTTATTTAAATAAAAACCAGATTTTTTTGTGAAAAAACTTCATCTCTCTCTCTGTGTATGTGTGTGTGTTCGGGTTTGTGTGGAGCCTAGAGGTTGACGAGGGGTGTCTCTTTGCCCCTGTGTTGATATTATTGTTACTATTGAGGCAGTATCTCTCACTGAGCCTGTAAATTGCTGTTTTCGCTATAGTGGCTGGTCAGTAACTCCCTGGAAGCTGTCTGTCTCAGGTCCCCAGCACTGGAGGGACTATGTGACTCCACACCTTGCTTTTCACAGGTGCTGAAGATCTGAACTCACTTGTACACGAGTGGCATTGTCTGCTGAGATGTCTCTGTAGGTGGAGACTGCTTGTTTGTTCCTGACCACCTAGACTCGAAATAATCACACAGAAACTATATTAATTAAAACACTGATTGGCCAATTAGCTCGTGCATATTTCTAGCTAACTCTTACATTTTGAATTAACCCATTTCTATTAATCTATGTATCACCACAAGGCTCATAGTTTACTGGTAAGGTTCTCAGGTATCTGTTTCCTTCAGCAACTACATGGTGTCTCTCTGACTCTGCCTACTTTCTCCCAGCATTCAGTTTAGTTTTCCTGTCTAACTCTATCCTGCCCTGTCATAGGCCCAAGAAGCTTCTTTATTCATTAACCAATAAAAGCAACACATGTACAGAAGGGCTTCCCAGATCACATCTCTCTAAGTCCCTAATTGGACTTGTAAAGGCATCTCTCTCCCCAATGTCTTTTCCCTATCACAGAGTAGCTGCATATACCTCCATGGAGACCACTGTTTGAGAAGGCAGGCATTCAGTTTACTGCTTCCATCTCACACCCTCCCAGACTGGCAGCAGAGGGTCTGAGCAAAAATCTTGCTGAGGAGCTCACAGGTTCAAGACTTCCAAATGATTCTGAGTCCTCAATACCTCCAACTCCGTTCCTTCACAATAGGTTAAAACCATGCGTGTGTGTGTGTGTGTGTGTGTGTGTGTGTGTGTAGTATTCAAGTGGGAGTCATAAGAGTATTAATTCTCTGCTGACCATCGTGGCTCATATCTGAGATTCAAGCACTTGAGAGGCTGAAGCAAGAGGATTGGTGTGAACATGTGGCTAGTCTAGATTACCTAGTGAGTTCCAGACCAACTTCGACTACATAGTGAGTTCTCAAACCTACCCTAACACACCTACATGGGAAAAAAATTAAAGAAAATTAACCGTCTTAAGATGAGAACTTTAGTGGCTTTTAGTGCACTTCCAGTATTGAGAGAGCATTGCCTTCTCCACCCAGTTCCCAAGCATTTCACCACCCCTTCTCCCCTCATGAAATCCACATTGGTTGAACAAGGGCTTTGCATTTTTTTTCCCTTTCTCCAGCCCTGGTAGCCAACTCTGGGTTCCCCTGATTTTATTGATGTTTCATATAAAAGGTTACACAATATCTGACTTTTTGGGGATGTTGTAACTTTTTTTTTTTTTTTTTGCCATCCAGCATTCTTTCTTCAAGGCTCAGATGCCATATTTTATGAAAAGTGTCACAACGACAGCTGCAAAGATTAGAAAGACCAGCAGTCGAAACGGTTTATGTCCCATGCAATTACAGAAGACCTCGCAGAAGCCCTTGCAGCACTCACAGAAGCATCTGCAGCAGTACTCGTGGCAGGCCCCGCAGCAAGCTTTGCAGCAGCAGGATTCACCTGCTGGGTGGATATGGCTGCTTCTCTCTACCTGGCCAGTGATGTCTGCTCGTGGTCTCCCAGAATTGGGCACAACATACGCGGGAGTGGGTGGGACATAGGAGGAGGGAGTCGGTAGGATGAACGAGGAGGAAATGGTTGGGACAAATGCGGAGGATGGGGGCAATGCCTCTGGGATCTTGGACCTGGAGGTCTTGTTTCCTGTACCTGCTGTTCCGCTGCTCTTGACGGGAGAAGGCATTTGAATGACACATCTAGGGGCAGGTGAGCTTACAGGTGCCAACTGTTGGGTTGTCAAGATTGGGACAGTTGATGGGTTTGAGGCATGGCTCACCTTAGGGTCAGCTTTGGTAGGGTTACTGGCTTTGGCGTCCACTTTTGATGCTTGGGGCTTTCCCACTTTAGAGGAAGGCTGTGAGCAGGAGACGTTGCTGCGCGTGACAGTGGCCATAGGCTCCCTAGTTGACTTAGAGGAGGCGGGAGACAATGGGCATGCTGGTGGTTTTGAGGCTAGGCCTGAGCTACTCTGAACACAAAAGCCCTGCAGGCAGGCCTCACAGTTGTTGCTGTCATGTGGGCCTTCAAGACCCCTGTCTCCAAGCAAAGGAATCTCAGCCATTTCCTTAAACTCTTCTCCGTAGCTCTTCCTCAGAATTCTGAAGACCAGATTGCTCAAGATCCTCGAGATGTTGTCCCAGCTGAACTCTGGAGCTGCAAATGGAGGCTCAGGGCACCTGTTACATCTCTGAGCAAAGGCCCTCATCTTCACATGTCCCTTGCTGTTCTTCTTATACCAGCGCATGTGGAAGACCACCAGGACACAGCCAGAGGCCCAACTGCGAGAGCAGCTGGGGCAGATGAACCTGTGGAGAACCAGGCGAGAGCTTCAGCCAAGCTGTGGGCAGGTACCGGAGGGAGAAGGAGCCTCTCACCAGCCGTGAGAGAAGTGAGCGAGCCCCTCTTCCTCATTCCCACCTGTTCACCAATATTCTCTGTGGCCATTGTTAGATGCTTGCTATGCAAACAGCAAGTCACCAACCTTCTGACTCCAAAGGGACCCCGGGCATTTTCTAGGTCCAGTGTGTGTATTGTACATTTCAGAGGCAAGGCACACAATGGGACCTCACCACACCCCAGGACCTGGGGTTCGTGAGCTGGGACTGGAGCTCTGGTATCTGAACCCTAAGCCATTGTTTCTTCAAACATCAATGTAAATGTGTTCAAGGCTATACATGCCACAGCCTTCCAAGGACCCCATGCTGAAATGAGCAAGTGGATATAAGTGGGTGCTAGGTAAGTCACCAGCAGGTCAGGAAAGAGCTGCAGCCTCCTGCCTCAGAGACATCTTGCCTGCTCTTGTTCCTCAGGTCCCATGATTTATAAATCCCCACAGATCACCTTCCAGCTCTCTCTCTTTTTTTTGTGCCCCCCCAACTCCTAATTTTTCTTATATACACCAGAGAATGTTGCGTTGTTTCTCAGGGCTTGCCTCCAACAGGGCGCAGAATGACACACCTTCTCAGCAGAGAGAGCATTTTCTCTAAGACGTTTGCACAAACGCCTGCTAGGAACAGTGAAGGAAGACAGGAGAAGCCTATGCTTCCTAGAACAGGGGCTGTGCAAAGCCAGAAGACTGCAGCGTGGGGGGGGGTATTTATTGCTCATCAAATAACCCATAAATGCTCTCTTGATTCAGTCAGCTTGGGACCATGGAACCTGTTGATGGGACTTGAGCAGCAGCCAGATCTCCTTTCTCAAGGCCCCAGCCCTCTCTGCCTTGGGTAGCCTTGGGAGCTGTGCATTCGGTTAAATGCTGGGATTTTTTTTTCTATAGCTGTTGATCCTCACTTTGCTTGAGGCAGGAGAATCTGCAGTCTGAGGTAGGAACGTTGGAGGAGGCTGGGCAGAACAAGGAAGCTCCTCCTAGGACTTTATCCATGCTAAATCAATGTACCACTGATCTACAACCCCAGGCCCCTCTTTTCCATGCTTTGATCTTAGCCTGCTTTCTTAGGACAAATGTGGAAATGAACCGAGAGAAGGAGATGCTGAGAGGCTAGCTAGCTCCTAGTTCCACGAAGTGTACTGGCCAGGAACCTTCCCTCAGTTCTGCACAAGGAGCTGCCTGAGCTGTCCTGAGCTGTCTGCCACCCACACTGGCCTGGTCTCAGCACTCTTGCTCCACTGTGTGCCAGGCCAGAGTCTCAGGTTCTCAAATAAACAGACTAAGGCTTTGCTCTGGAGCTTCCCAAGTCAGCTTCTGCCTGGGAAAGGGCCAGTCTCCTCACAGTGCGCAGCAGGCATGACAGATCTCAGGACTCTACCCTCTGTGCCCTCTTACCTCCACCCCTAGGCTTTGGGGCACCTACTTTCTATGGAAAAGAAAGGGCAAAATGTTGGGTGGTGCTGGGTGGTGGTGGCGACGCATGCCTTTAATCCCAACACTCGGGGGGGGCAGAGACAGGCGGATCTCTGTGAGGTTGATGCCAGCCTGGTCTACAAGAGCTAGTTCCAGGACAGGCTCCAAAGCTACACAGAAACTCTGTCTCAACAAACAAACAAACACAAACAAACAGACTGTTGGGTGGCCCCAGAAAGTCCTATTTGAGAGAGAATATCTTGGCTCGTAGTAGAGAGCGACATGATTGCCGTGAGCCGCTTTGGGCCATGTACCTGTGATCTGTCCTGAAGAGACTCCCCAGGATAAACCTGTCTCTTCTCAGGAACTCCAGGAAGAGGGAATCTTTCAAGGCAGGTAGGAAATGCAGAGCCCCTGGAGTAAATGAGCCTCCACCCTCCCCTTCCTGACTGTCTCACTTCCCAGCCAGAATTCTTAGTATTTAGGTCTGCCACTGTCTTAAGTTCCTAGTAATGGAGCGGGATCCCCCGTCTCTAATAAATTGGAATCCCTTCCTGTGTTCTTCAGCATGCAAGCCTGGATAGAGGAGAATAGTGATGAGTAAGAAACAAAGAAGAATGGTAAGAGCTGTCTGCTGTGCAGACCATCGTGACTCGCTCACCTGGCAAAGGTCTTTTGCTGGTATTGTATCCATCCAGGATTCAGAACATCAGGAAGAAGGTCCTTGTCTGGTGTGAGGGTCCATTTGTGCCATGGTTTCACCTCTTGAATCAGCTCCTGAAACACTTGTTGCCATACTTCTGTGTCTTCTTCCATCATGGCTGTTGTGTGGTGGCTACGCTGGGGCAGGGGTTCCTGAGTGGGGACAGGGGCTCCTGAGTGGGGGTAGGGTCTCCTGGATGGGGTAGGGTCTCCTGGTCCTGGGTAGGGTCTCCTGAGTTGGGGTAGGGGCTCCTGGGTTGGGTAGGGGCTCCTGTGTGGAGGCAGGGTCTCCTGGGCCTGGGTAGTGTCTCCTGGGTATCCCAGGGTCTTCTGTTTGGGGCAGAGTCTCCTGGGCCCAGACAGACCCGTGGTGGGATGTAAGCTTGTCCACTTCAGAGAGTGAGGGTTCAGACTGGCAATCCCTTTGAAGATTTGGATTGGGACAGTGGTTCAGATCCTCTGTCCCAGGGGCAAAGGTCAGTTGAGTCTGTTCCCAAGTTCAGAGGACAGCTGTGGACACCACAAGAAATCACACAATGCAGGGAGCTTTGGTTTTCATGCCTCAATATTTGGAGTTCAAATCAGGAATGAGCTGCCTCTGACACAGAGCCCCTGGAACGGTGGAGGTCACTCTTGCCTTTTCTGGTTCTAACATTTAAACTCCTCATCCACTGGGCTGCTGGATTCCTGCTTGGGGCAAAAGGGGCCTCCCTGGGATTCCCATACCCTGGGAAGTCCCCGTTCATACCTAGCTCCTCAGGAGGATGGTGGCCTGCTGGCCCTGCCTACCAACCATGGCCTGAACAGAGGTCTCAGCCCCTATCCTCCACTTACCGGAAATCAAAGTTGGTTGTTCAGTCAGTGTGTGCCCAGATTAGTCTCTGGGTGGGTGGGAGGCTGCTGGCCCGAGACCAATAGGGATCCTTTGCCTTCCTCCATGAGAAGCTTCCCTGTCACCACACACTGAGGAAGAGGAAGGAGAGGCAGGCAGAGGTGGCCAGTGCTGGAGCAGGCAACACTGTAGGAACGGCAGACAAGATTCTGAGTGTCCACTCCAGAGGACTTCATCCAAAGATAGGGTGGGTCTTAGTTGGACATAGAGGTATTGTCCTGCTGGCTTCCCAAGCTGGAGGCTCCTCGGCCTAGAGGAAAGGAAGGAAACAAGGGGAGGGGCTTCCTGTGACGTTTGGAAACCAAGCTTTCCCCGGTTTTTCTCGGCTGTCTCTGCCCCAAATCACAACAACCTCATGGCCAGACTCAGATCACGATGGACCCTTTCCTTCCTGCCCTCATTTAGTTTCTCAACGCTATTTGCTCAGTTATAAATTAACTACATTTGGGGAAGTGCTCCAGTTTCTTTCTTTCTTTTTTTCCTCCCCCTTTCAACCTCTTACAGTAGGTTGTGTCCATCTGTTGTCTGCTTGCTTAGTCCAGCTCCCAGGAAATAGAAGTTCTCTGTTTGTGGTCAGCAGTGCCTTGTTCTTCACACTTTGGGGGATTTTTCATGGGGATTTCACCATGTAAAACAGATCCCAGGGCAGGTGCTGACATGTTCCCGAGAGAAAGAAGGCCACGGTGTTTCTAACACAGAAAGTACAAGTGTTAGGGAACTTTGTTCGGGTCCCAGTTACGCAGTGTGGTTGGCCATGGGCTCAATGTTAAGAAGTCAATAACTGCATACATAACAGGGCAGTTTTAGACAGAGACAACACGAGGGCTCCTGTTGATTGTGTGACTGAAACATGAGCAAGGGATACAAGAACCTAACGGTAGTCCCCTTAAGAACAGTGGCTTTGTATTCAAGACGACACTTAGGACCGCCATGAGCAGTGAGAACCCACTGTTCTCTCCTTTGCCCGCCTTGCTAGCCTCCTCTCTTGCATTCTGTAGGGGAGTTGAGTTGGGGGAGCAAGTCTCTGCCTTGCTCCGGTTTTTGTTCAGAAAGTTACTAATGCCTCGCTCAGTTAGCCAGCAGAGTTCCCAGACCCTCTGCTGTCTTCTAGTTCTGTCCCCCAAGACCAAAGTCCAAAGAGCCTCTCTCTCGTCAGCCTGTGGTTAGGAACTGGTGTGGACCTTCTCCAAGTGGGTTGGATTTGTGACAGCCTGAACGAGGCTCTACTTGTGAATCGGTGTGGAAATCACAGGTGTGTACAGATGTACTAGAAGACCTGAGGTAAGACCTGCTTTGGAAGATTGATGGTTTCTGTGGCCACCAGGACACAACACAGCAACAGAAGTCAGGCAACAGGCCTAGCTGCTTGTCACTTACAACCTGATCAAGAGAAGGATGCCAGGTGAGCCCACACAGGGTGTCCAGGAACAAGGAAGAGCTAAGTGTAGCTATAGGGCACAGTGTATGTGTGGCAGTGGCCTGAGGGTACCTAGAAGCTTGCATCAGCTTCTCCTGGGGTAATGAGTTCACCCCCAGGGGCAACAACCACAGACCAAAGCAACTCTGTCACCGGAGTCTAGTTTGGTGAACCAATGAGTTTATTGGGATTACTTAGGGACATGGGTGAGGGATTGTTCCTATCTCCTCTTACCTTATATTCCTCTATCCTCCTCCCCATATCACTCCTGTCTCCTCCTTCCTAGAGCTGGAATTAAAGGTATGGGATCCCAAATGCTGAGATCACCTTTGTGTGAACTGTTTCTCTTTTAGACAGATTCAATCTCGTGTAGCCCAGGGTGGCCTTAAACTAACAGAGATCCCTTTGCTTCTGCCTCCTGAGTCCTGGGATTAAAGGTATGAGCCATCACTCCCTGGCTTCTAGTGGCTTAGTTCTGCACTCTGATCTTCAGGCAAGCTTTATTTGTTAAAACACAAACAACATATCACTACTGCCACTGAAAAGTCTGACCCCAGCACGGGTGACAAGTTCCCCAGAACTGTATAGCTGGCTCTCCCCCTCTGGTTAACTTTCCATCTCCTACATACTATGACCCCTCCTGAGATAATGTGTAGTTGGGGTGGAATTATGTATGACTGAGAGAGGATGTAGGAGGGAGAGTGTGGAATCTCAGTCAAGGATCTAAGGACCCTCTCCTAGTATCCCTAGTATGAGAGAGTGCCAGTCACCGTCACTCTGATGAATGACAACGGATGTTACACTTGAAAATCAGAGTTTCTACGACACTAGTCTTCCTAGGCTTCCATGGGTAGGCTCGAGGGTTCTGGAGCAGCAAGGTATACCTCATTTGCCCTTAGCTGTCTTGTACTGGGGCTTTAGGCCATGGGGGCAGATACACAGTGGTTCACAATATGATGGACGAGGAACGGGTGGAGTATAGAGATGACCAGCTGCTGAAGAAGGAAAACTGACCAGACCCTCCACTAGTCGAAGCTGGGTTGAAACACCTTAACCAAAATTGTATTATGAGATGATTCTGACTTACGTTAGGACAAAAGTGCAACAGCAGGTATCTTCACAATGGGGAGGCAGAGGGGGGTCGAGACACAGACTCATAGGAAAAGGCCACTTAGAGACAGAAGCAGACTAGAGTTAGGTCGTCAGGAGCAAAGGGATGCCTGGACCTTGAGGAGGCAAGAAAATTTCTCCCTAGGGCCTCTGGAGGGGTGGAAGGACTGAAGACAGCTTGATTTTGGACTTCTGACTTCCAGAACCGTGAGAATAAATTTTTATTGTCATAAATCATCCAGTCTGTGGTCTAGCTGTGACAGATGACAGGAGCAACAGATACGGGCGCTTACATTCTATTTCATAAGGGCACATTTGTATTTTACATTGTAAAGGAGTCTGCACACACATCACAGATGGCTCAGCATGGACACCTGCCAAAGACATGTTTGTTCTAGGATAACCTTTGGCTTGGGCAGCACTTCAAGAGGAACGCAGCGAGTCTGGGGATGATGTGTGGGGACCACTGGGAGCTAAGGAAACCAGCGTCTCGGAGCTCAGAGCCAGCTGACCCCTGGCCAGAGGATGAAGACTGGACAGACTTCATGATGCTGCCATTCCCTGTCACGTCTGCCAGCTGGAGATGAGCCTCCAGCAGAACCAACCGCTCCTTCCCACCGCAGTGTTTCTTTAGCGCCCTCTACTGAGAAGGTTTAACAAGCTGTTCGCTGTAGGCTCGCAACCACTTCAGTTCCAGGAGATCTGACCTCTAAGGACAGCAGCAATTCATGTGGTGCACAGATATACATTGAGGCAAACACTCACACACATAAAATAGAAAGAAATCCTTAAAAATGACTCTATTAGCATATGTTAATTATACACAATAGTCTATTTCCTTATGACACTTTCACAGGTGGGGCGTCATTCCTCACTGTCTTTAGTTGTATATCCTCTGCTGGGCCCGCGAGACTCCAGCAGAAAGCTCCACATTCACTGTCACACAGATGGCAGTGTTGGTGAGCACAACACAAAACAAAACAAACGGTCTACGGAGCGAGTCCTAGGACAGCCAAGGCTACACAGAGAAACCCTGTCTTGGAAAATCAAATATATACGACAACTGGTAATGACAACTTCATGACAGCTGCAGTATCACCAGGCAAAAAGAAATTTCCAGCCCATTGTAAGCTCATGAGAACACTGTACTACATGTGGCTTACCATTGGTCAAAACAGTGGTATACAATACACAGGCTGAATACACATATTTACAATTTTTAAAAGATTTACTTATTTATTTATTATGTATACAGTGCTCTGCCTGCATGTCTGCCTGCACACCAGAAGAGGGTGCCAGACCTCATTATAGATGGCTGTGAGCCACCATGTGGGTGTTGGGAATTGAACTCAGGTCCTCTGGAAGAGCAACTGATGCTCTTAACTGCTGATCCATCTCTCCAGCCTATATTTATCTATGATTAAAATGATTATTTTATTTATTTATTATTATTGTGTGTGTGATGACTCAGGGGACAATCCTCAGGAGTTGGTTCTTTCCTTCAACCCGAGACCTGGGAATGTAACTCAGGTCATCAGATTTGGCGGCAAGTGCCTTTATTGAGCAGACTTGCTGCTATTTTATAGCTATATTTAGTACATACATACATATGTATATGTGTGTATATGTATATATATACATACATGCCCACACATAGTTTGTTGATAGGTCCTAGAAATAACAGCGTCCCAGGAGCAACCAACACACAGTGTTGCCTCTTTGTTTCTAAAAACCATTTCCTTAAAAAAGGAGTCAAGACGCTTTGGAAAAATTGTTGATTCCAGAGCTTGGGGGGGGGACCTGGGGTACTGGGAAGTTTCTGGAACAAAAGAAGATCTGGGTGTAGCGTGTACATATTTAATCCCAGCTCCCAGGAAGCAGAGACTAGAAGTTGGCTGCAAGTTTGAGGCCAGCCTGGGCTACATAATGAAACCCTGCCTTCAACAACAACAAGCTGGAAAGAAAAGGGCTCAAGAAACAAAAGTGTACCAGCACGGAGGGGCCAGAGGCCGACCTGACGGAGCTGTGCTGAGTGGCACTGGGATGATCTGTGCCGTGAAATAGCCGCATGGTGTTTGTGCTGCCTGGTCTAGGTCAGCTTGGCACAGGCTAGAGTCATTCAAAAGGAGGAAACCTCAATGAGAAAATGCCTCCATAAGATCCAGCTGGAGGACATTTTCTTCATTAGTGACCAATGGGGGAGCCCAGCCCATTGTGGGAGGTGCCTTCCCTGGGTAGGTGTCCTGGGTTCTAGAAGAAAGCAGGTTGAGCAAGCCAGTAAGCAGCACTCCTCCGTGGCCTCTGCATCAGCTCCGGCCTGCGAGTTCCTGCCCTGCTTGAGTTTCTGTCCTGACTTCCTTTAATGATGAACAGTGATGTGAAAATGTAAGCCAAATAAATCCTTTCCTCCCTGTGGCTTGAAAGAAAAAGGCCCTCAAAGGGAGTGGCACTATTAGGAGGTGTGGCCTTGTTGGAGGAAGTGTGTCGCTGTGGGATCAGGCTTTGAGGTCTCAAAAATGCTCAAGTCACACTCAGTGTTTCAGTTTACCTTTGGATTAAGATGTCAAATTCTCCAGCACCGTGTCTGCCTGCATGCCGCCATGTTCCCCGCCATGATGATAATGGACTGAACCTCTGAAACCGTAAACTGCCGCCTCAGTTAAATGTTTTCCTTTATAAGAGTTGCTGTGGTCATGGTGTCTTCTCATAGCAGTAGACACCCTAAGATACTCCCAACTTGCTTTTTGGTCATAGTGTTTTGCTATAGTTATTGGATTATAATCTAGAGTATAATACATCAACCCATACAGATACAAAAGGATGAATAAGGAATAGAGGACGGGAACTGGGAAGTGGCTGCTCAAACATAAAGACTTAGGCTTAGCTCCCCAGAATTGGGAGACTGGAGAGATCACTCAGAGGCTAGAGGCTGCACTCCCAGAGAAACCGGAGTTCAGTTCCCAGCACCTATGTGGTGGCTTACTCCAGTCCCAGAGGATCTGACACCCTCTTCTGGCTTCTCTGGGCACCAGGCACTAGACACTGGATGCACAGACTTGCATTCAGGCAAAACACATAAAGATAAATGAGTAAATAAAATAAAACAAAATAAAAAAGCCAAGTGTAG